AAATATCTGCAGATGAAATAATGGATTTGTTTTGAAATAATTTAGGAAGGTTAGATACGGGGAAGTAGAAAAATCGGCCACATACTGGCAAATTATTTACATGCAGTGACGGAAATGCCAGCATTCATTTCTAGACTCAGCTTCTACATGTAAAAATTTCCAGAATCCGAAGTTGATGAGTAGGGCTTACTATCACTATGACAAAGTGCCATATGCTGGCATGCTTGGATCAATTAGGGATGGAACCAGAAGAAAAATATAATTAGATAACTAAGTCATTCAACTTTAATTTCACCAAGATTCAGTATGAAATTCAGAAATAAAGAGAATTAACAAAATAGGTATGAATAATCTCTACATAAGAACTTGACTTCAATTCAGATTACATCATCCAGTTGTCATCTCCTTTTATAATCCCTGTCACATTTTTTATTAAGAGTGTGGACCATATACACAGGCTTTCTGATTCTGTGGCCTACTAATGAGTAACCTTAGCTGTACTCCTCCTAGTCTAAATAGTAAACCAATTACTGTATTATTAAGCCCAAATTCAAACAAAGCCACCTTATTAGGACTTACCTGAAAGATATTTGTAATGGCATCCAGAATAACCAGAATAATTTTGGTATCTTTCGCAGTTAAGAGGTTCATCAATGGTTCTATTATGCCACAATGAACAAGGTATACAATCTGTTCAACTGTTCCACCACTTGTATAGTTGGTCACAGCCCATACAGCTTCCTTTTGTGTCTTAAAGTCTGCCTGATAAACATAAAGAAATAATCTTATTCCAGAACAATCATACAAATAAGATTCTAAAAGTACTATTTCACGAAAACACACAATGACTAAAACTACCAACTGGTTTTACCCAACTTTAAGTGTAAGGGGTTACTGGATATTTAGCAAAGGACTCCAAGTAGAACCCAACCTTATACATTAAGAACCTTACCAAGCACAGTTTGTTTTTCAATACTAAAAATCATTTGATTAAATTCTAAACTTCATTACCTTAGAGAGAACACCAACGAGGAATGGGACTAATCCATGATTCACAACTTGCTGTATCTGGTCCTGACGGCCAGCTGTGATATTTGACATCGTCCATGTAGCTTCCTTCTGAATATTGGTTTTGGGGTTGGTCAGTAGGCTGGGAAAGACGGCAAGTGCTCCTGCATCAATCACAACCTGAGTCTGTTCATCTGTCCCAGTGACAATATTTCCTATGGCTCTTAGTGCAGGAGTCTGAAAAGAAAAAAAAAAGTCGATGCTGGTGGTTACCTTTTACTTTTTCCAGTACTGCTCAAAAATTCTGTATCCTAAAAGTTTTGACAAGAAACCCACCATGGCCTGAAATAGGCAACAGTTCAATATTAGTATCAATTGATTATGCTTCTTGCACTTTATATTCTAATCTATAAATTAACAACTTACCACAATTGGCAATTCGGTAGCTCCTAGAAGCTTCACAAGTTGGGGAACAACTCCTGTTTTCACAACCATTTCAATCCTTTCATTTGGACCATCAGTAAGGTAGGAAATAGCCCAGCAGGTATCTGCTAATACCTCTGGATCATCATGATGCAGGAGACGAACTAATGTAGGAAGAATCTGTTCAACAGCATCTAACGGTGGTGCAGGATTCTTGTTGCGACAAAGGTTCGAAAGCGTCCAGGTAAGATTACGTAAGTAACCACACTGGGGGAAAAGAAATAAGCAATGAGAGGTTCTGTCTTTTGAGGAGATGGGGTAAATTAGAATCAGTAAGTAAGTAACCTTACTTATGTTAATAACTTACTGCTAAAGATGACATATCAGGAACAGCCAGAAGAGCCAACAGTGGGTCAACTGCACCATACTTGATAACCAAGTCTCGGAAAACTGAACCGTCACCTGGAAAAAAGGCAAGATTAATCATATCTTCTTGTCTAGCACCATCAATGTTCAGTGACTGAATGAACCAGCAAATATTCTCAAACTTACTCAGATGCCTCTGATGTCTTTTTTTAAGGTGCTACTTTCGTTCCTAATAAGGGCCTGAAGCAGGCTCAAAACTTGACACAAAGGTCATTATTACTTACAACGAGGCCCTTCTCCCAACCTCATTATGACTAGATACATTCAGTCAAAAGAGTTTTAACTCCAAGTACCTGCAATGTTTCCTAGAGCCCATACAGCTTGTTCACTGATGTGAGGATGGGGAGATGCCAACAGAGAAATGAATGCTGGGATAGCACCTCCATCTACCACAGCCTTGGTCTGTTCTGATGTCCCAGAAGCAATGTTAGTGAGCGCCCAAGCAGATTCAAACTGAATGGGACTACAGTCAGTTCTGCCCAAGAAGGACACAAATTTTGGAATCAAACCAGCCCGGATTATGTTGTCTATGGGGGGCTGTTTTTCTCTAGAAAGTAGTTTCCTAAGGGGGAACAAAAAGAGAAATATAAGTTGAAAATGATTTAAAAAGTTTGTGTGAAAACCAATTTAAAATGCAATTCAAGAGATTAGAACTTTAGACAACCTTTTAAGTGAAGCACTAAATGCTGAGACATCCTGGAACTTAAGAGAAGCCAAACAGATTACTCTGATGGTGTTACGTATATGGTATAGGTAACTACCATTTTTCCAAAAATCAAAGTATTACCAGTAATGTAGATTACCCTCCTCTCTGCATCCCTGAAGAAATCTACTATAGATCTTGTCACCTGGACAACCCAACAGGGTTATACTCATTGTTAACTTGTGTTTCCCTGACTGTTACTGGGGTTAAATGTCTTTTCCATGATTTGTCATTTGGATTTGTTCTTCTGCACACTGTCAAGCTACAGAAATTATTAATCCTTTCTATTATGAATGTCGTAAGTATCTGTATGATGGGAAGTAAGGGTGTAAATATACTTATTTTCTAAATGATCTATTGTCAGGTGCAGTGGCTCACACCTGTAATCCCAACAACTTGGGAGGCTGAGGTGGAAGGATCACCTGAGGCCAGGAGTTCCAAGACAAGCCTGAGCAAAAGACTAAGACCCTATCCATCTATCTATCTGTCAATCAATAAATACATAAATGAAACTATCATTCTAAATGGACGCTATCAATTCCACTATTTCCTCCTTTCCCTGCCTGTGGCTTGAAATGTCATTTTGATAAAATCTTTATCGAAATGGCTGGCTTAACTTTTCTTTACTCACACTGTCTTCTTCCTGTGGAAAAGTCTATAAAACCTAATTTCTTAGGTTACCCATGCTATAGCAGACAAGACTTACCTGGCAGCTTGAGTAGCTTGGAGCTGGCTTTCCACATTGGTGCTATTTATGCCTTTGACAATGTCATCAACAGACCAATTTACAGTGACCTGAAAGTGACATATTGCAAATTATCATTAAGATTAAAGCCTGTAATCTGTATATTTCCATGGTAGAGTGTTGCAAATATAAAAGTATGTACAGTCTCAGGGGGACCAAGCTAAAAAAAAAAAAAGAAAGAAAAAGTATGCTGTGAATCACAGTAGAAGGGTTTGAGCACCAATGCAGCCGTTAATGTAAAAAGACAGTGTCCTTTTTTCTCTAGGGCTTATGACCTAACAGGAAAAATGTGACAAGCAGACAAATACCACAAAACAAGTGGTAAATATACATCGTGTTATACAGCACTTACTTTCCATTTTGGTGTAGAACCAGGGAACTACAGAATCCTGAGAAAGGAGTGTCTTTCCTGCTAGACTGACCAAGGAGTGCTAAAGATGGGATTTCAGTATTAGTATCCTAGAAATAGAACATAGGTGCAAAAGTAATTGCGGATTTGGACCATGAATTTTAAATCATCGTAACTAGGCTCAAACACATCTTTATTAATCAAAATAGCGACCATTACAATCAACACATTTTTGTCAACGAGAAATAAGTTGTTTATTCCTATAGTGTAAAAAATCTGTGCTTTGGGATTCGATGAACTCTTGGAAAGCATTTTCCCTGCAAAAAGTTGTCATGATGGTTGAAGAAGTGGTAGTCGACTGGCAAAAGGTCAGGTGAATATGGTGGATGAGGCAAAACTTCCTAGCCCAATTTGTTCAACTTTTTAAGTGTTGGCTGTGTGACGTGCGGTCAGGCATTGTCATAGAGAAGAATTGGGCCCTTTCTGTTGACTAATGCCGGCTGCAGGCGTGGCAGTTTTCAGTGTACCTCATTGATTTACTGAGCATACTTCTCAAACGTAATGGTTTCGCCAGGATTCAGAAAGCTGTAGTGGATCAGACCAGCAGCAGACCAGCAAACAGTGACAAGAACCTTTTTTTGGGGCAAGCTTGGCTTTGGGAAGTGCTTTGGAGCTTCTCAGTCCAGCCACTGAGCTGGTCAGCGCCAGTTGTTGAATAAAATTCACTTTTTGTCACACGTCACAATCCAATCAAGAAATGGTTGCTATTGCATACAAATGAAGACAACATGATTTTTTTTGATCTTCAGTCAGCTCGTGAGGCACCCACTTATCGCGTTTTCACCTTTCCAATTTGCTTCAAATGCCAAACCACTACAGAATGGTCGACGTTGAGGTCTTCAGCAACTTCTTGTGTAGTTGTAAGAGGATCAGCTTGATGACTGCTCTCAATTGGTTGTTGTCAACTTCTGATGGCCAGCCACTGTGCTCCTTATCTTCAAGGCTCTTGTCTCCTTTGCAAAACTTCTTGAACTACCACTGCACTGTACATTTATTAGCAGTTCCTGGGCCAAATGCGTTGTTGATGTCGTGAGTTGTCTCTGCTGCTTTACGACCCATTTGAACTCAAATAAGAAAATTGCTTGAATTTGCTTTTTGTCTAACATCATTTCCATAGTCTAAAATAAATATAAATGGCAAGTAATAAGTTATTAGCAAAAAAAAATATCGTGAGAAACGCACATTAAAATGATGTATAACAACCACATTTACTTAATGTATTCCAATATCAAACGGTAAATTTCAACAATGCTAAAACCGCAATTACTTTTGCACCAACCTAATAGTATTCAATGAAAATGGTAAACGTGGAGTGCTAAAGAAAAGCATAGTGTGAAAAAAAGACATAGGAAAGTACCCAGTGTCTTTGGAAGATGAAAGATAAATCAGAAAACCTAAGATGGCTCTACTAATTTATGGAATGCCTTATGGAATGTGAATTTTGAGCAGAGAAAAAACATGCCTAAAGCAGTACTTTATAAAAAATTTTAGGGCCGGGAGCAGTGGCTCAAGTCTGTAATCCTAGCACTCTGGGAGTGCCAATGCAAGAGGATGGCTTGAGGTCAGGAGTTCGAGACCAGCCTGAGCAAGAGTAGAGACCCTGTCTCTACTAAAAATAGAAAACATTAGCTGCACACGGTGGCATGAGCCTGTAATCCCAGCTATTCAGGAGGCTGAAGCAGAAGGATCACTTGAACCCAGGAGTTTGAGGCTGCAGTGAGCTACGATGATGCCACTGTACTCTAGACTGAGTGACAGGGCAAGACTGACTCAAAAAAAAAAAAAAAATGGGGAAAATGGTATATGGTATAGAATGAAGGAAAAGATAAATTAGGAGGCTACTATAAATATTTCAGGAGGAAAAAGGCCAGAAGAAAACTGATGACAAATACAAAAAATAGAGAATACCAAAAAAGGTAGAAATAAGCCAATAAGTGATTGTTCTAGACACATTAACTTTCAGTCAACATTGGAATGATCAGGTAAGGCTGACAGCTAGTAACTAGAAATGCAGGGAAACCTGAAGGAAAGGTCAGAGCAAAAGGAAGGCCTTAGCATCAACTTCAATGGATTATGGAGAGAAGGCAGACTTACTGATTGGAAGCAGAGAAAAAGATGTTTACGGATACTTAAAACCATAAGACTCGGAATGTTATTTAAATTTCTAAGAAAAACTCCTATTGAGTTTCTGGGTTTAACATAATTCATAAACTAAAATATACTCACCTGGTTGTTGCGGTTTTCCTGCAGTGGAGAAGTAGCATCATCAGGAAACGAGCTTACATTTCTCCTTTTCAGCATCTGGTCATCCTTCTTAGCTTTTCTCAACTCCACATTAACTTCTATTCGGCGCCGCCTCATTTCCTTGAGAAAATATAACATTTCCATTTCACCTATCATTTAAGTTGTTGCCAAATAAGAACATTTAAAATAAATACTTCCCAAGTTTTCATTCCTTACCCAAATACCTTCCCATTTTTAAAAACATCACAGGGAAGCAACACAAAGTACTCACTGTACTGTCTTTTCCCTTGTTCTTGAATCTGTTAAGTCGGGCAGCTGGTGAATTAGCATTCTCGTTGGTGGACATGGTTATGAGACAAAAGGAGAAAGCTAGGAAATGGGAAAAGAGAAAAAATTTCTTCTGTATAATTGTGCTTTGTCAATAAAGAGCAACGAATAAGAATAGAATTATCAAGCATATACTGAATCCACACCTACATACTAGAGGAGGATCGTCATGTTTTCAGCACTATGAAATAGTTTTAATCAAAAGATAATTGTCCCCTCCCCTAAGAAGGGTTGAGACTTCCTGGAGCAGCACTGTCCATCAGAAATATAACACAAGCCATACAAATTTAAATTTCCTAGTAGCCACATATTTAAAAAAAGCAAAAAGTAAAATTAGTTCTAACAATTAACTTTTTAAAATTAAAACACATCCAAATATTATCATTTCAACATTTAATCGATATAAAAAATATCAAGATATTTTACACTTTTTCATGTTATGTCTTTGAAATGTTACAGCATATTTCCAATTCCTACTAACCACTTTTTAAATGCTCAGTAGCCACATGCATCCACCGTTTTGCACAATGCGTCCGTAAACTCTTTGAGTCCAGAATAGTCGACTGAAGACAAAGTAGGGGAACCGAGTTAAAGTTAAAAACTACGCCCTAGAACAATAAATAAAAATCCTCTGGATGCTCTCCCTACTTTACTGTCTTTAAATGGCCAAAATGAGTCCATTCGCCACACTTGAAAGTTAAATACAAATTTGGTTCATCATTACATCACGGAGCCTTCCATAACATTTTTTTGGCAACACTGAAAACGTAGTGCTGCATCTTAAGTATCTCACATTTTCATTTCCAGGGACTTCGAGTGCATGCACTTAGGATGACATCAGTTGTGCGTCATTCATACTCAAATACTTAAAAGCAGTCTCCAAAAGGTGACAAAGTCAAAGCCCTTCTTACGACTTGCTCTCTTTAATACCATTATGCTCTTCTACGGCTTTGTGACACAGCTAACCCAGGGCCTACGTGTTAGAGATAGTTAATTCTCCCAACTGCCACCTCCATGTCCAGCCAGCCCCCCCGCCCCCACCCCGGGGAAGATGCAGCAACGAACGGTGGAGGGAGCCAGAGCAGCCAGGGCCTGCCCGGGACATTCGCCCTCGGGCCTGTCTCTGATCCTCCGGGCCGCGACGCGCTAAGGCTTTCGCTGCCGTTCACAGAAAGCCCTCTTAGGGCCCTAAAGCCCCAGCCCCGCGCATTGCTCAGCTAAGCCGCCTACTCAAACGAACGACGCCCCCGAGGCCTAGTCAGTGAGGGAGGCCAAGGGCAGGCCCGGAGTTTACCCGAGGCCTTTCTCTTTCCAGCAAGAAGCCCGGCCAACCCGCGGGCCAGCCGTTACCGCCCCGGCCTGGCTGGCGACTGAGTTTGTACCTGCACAGCGAGCTCAAGCTTCCACAGGAGGCGGTGCGTGAACTCAAGAGCCTGTGAGTCGGCTGCCCTAGAAACGTCCACAAGAGCTGAGCCTGAAGACCGTGTGGCTCATGCAGCCGGCCGGCGCGATTTAAATTTCCCGGTGACTCCGCATTCTGATTGGCTGGTTTGTGCCTAAGCTGTGTGCCCATTGGTGGATTTGAAAAACACGCGGGGGGGGGTCTTAGCGACAAGACAAGGGGGAGGATAGCATCGCGAGATGAGGGAGTGGCCGGGAGATCCCAGAGCGCCTTGCGGGCCGAAGTGGAAGGACTCCAGATCCCGGCATGCAGCGCGAAGGGGCGGCTCCCAGCCCCGCCTGGCCCAGCCGTAGGCAGCTCCGCGTTTGCTCAGGGTTAAAGTGTGTAAGGTCCTGGGGTCGTTTTCCTGGGCGGCTGCCTTAAGCAAATAACATAAAATGATTCTCAAAGTCATTATCTTTATAAA